TAGGCTATTTTGTAGCACAAGATAATTAGTGTGCGGCCCATTTTCACTTATATAGTGCTCTGTGAACACAAATTAGTTAGTATAACTCAGTTAAATGACGAAAAGTTAGGTGTCTATTTACTTGTGACCACTCAGTGTATGCTAATTCCATATAAATAATTATATTTTAGCTCATTTGTGGCACAGTGTAGTGGCGGGCCAGATGAACTGACTTCGCGAGCCAGATACGGGCCGTTTGGTGACCCCTGGTCTAAAGAAAGCGACATTAATTTCTTTACGACCTAATAGATTCCCCCTCAGTTTTAGATTGAGCTAAAGGAAGGTCTGTTTGACTTTTGCCTTTGACAATCTGCTCTTTGAAAAAAGACCAGGACCTTAAATATTTGCAGTATAACTTTCTTCCAAGAGCAATTTTTTCAACCCTGGCAATTTCAAAATTAATATTTTAATTTTTTTGCCCCACTCTACCGAATAGTACGTGCATATGTTTATTAGCTATAAAGTTATATTACGGCCAATAAAATTATAGCAATTTTTATTCACAATTTAAAAACAAAAACACTGTAATATTTTTCTCCCAGTGGTTTATTTACTTAATATTCAAATTCATAAAATTAATAAGTAATTTAAATGAAATGAAAATAATTATTCTTATTTTAAGTCATCATGTAAAACGTTATTAAAAATACATGATTAAAAGTAAGCGGAGTTTAAATTATACATCACAATTTAATATAAGGCCTGGACGTGTATGGACACAGAAGGTAGTGGTCATGATCACAAAAGTTTGATGTGTGTGTGTGTGTGAGAAACATGGCACTTTCGGTGAATGTCAGTGTTGAAGCAGCGCAAGAGTACCAAGTTCAAGAAATTACTTACGATGGCCAGGAAATCTACACGCAGTAAGTCTAAGCTTTATAATAAAATGAAGTTTTTCAAAGCTTCCCCGTGAAAATTGAAATAGTTAATATGTATGTTTTATGTTTCAGAAATAGTGCACAGTCTACCTTACAAGGCTACATGAGGTTAAGCCTGACGCGAAAGAATAAGTAGTGAGTGGGGAGAATGATAGCAATAACAGTAACGCAGAATAACTCGCACTGTACAATAATGCTTAAACCTATAAAAAATATAAAGTATAGTAGGTTCTGGTTTTGAAAATTATGGCATCGTTTCGGCCTTTAGTTTTATAGTGGTTAAAACTTTGGTTTTCCATTTCGCTTTAAAAAGTAATAATTATGTAAAGACTGAAATAATTTGGATGTTTGGTAAAATCGCCTTATTCTGGAAAGTGGAAGAATCTCTAGGATGCTGTGGAAATTTCACTTTTATTTGCACATTTATTTAGATTGTGTAGAGTTAGAACTTAACTATCACAATTTAGTTAATAGCAACAATGTTTTTAGAAAACTGTAGTGATTTAGGTAATAGTGTAAGTGTTGGAGTAAGGATAAATATAAATGTGCATATATATGATATATATAAATGACATAAGGAAAGTCTATTGCAAAATGTGTGTTCAACTTCATAATAGTGTATACATTGTTTCTATGTCACCACAACATATTTTGTGACAAGTTAGTGTCACATTATTTTTAACCAGAAGTTTATATTACAAAACATGTAATTTACTGTGAATATTTGGTTACCAATTCTAGTGTAGAATAAAAGTTACATACTAGTTTTTTTTCAAGATTTTTCTAAAAGGGAAATTGTGCAGTTTTAAAATAAAAAACACTCATTTGAGTTTCAATTTCTTTTTCTTGGTTTCAGTTTTCTGACTTTAGCTACCACACAGTCTTATGAATTGCATGAAATTTTAATTGTTAGATTGTTCCAAGTTTTAGTGTTGGCACATTGTCTATATAATATAATATTAATTATTTTAAGATAAATATTACTCCTTGAAGTTAAATAGAGAATGTTTATCTCATCATTCTACTGGATGTAAATAATTTATGATTGTACATGTAATTTACCACAAGTGTAAGGTGTGCTATACATTCTATATATAGCCAAAAAATTTACAAAGTTAAATTTGAAGAATTTCTTTAAATTTTGAAATAGATACATCATGGCCTTACAGTTAGAGTAAGCAGGCACCAGTTCTAACAGATGAACTCTAGCATTGGGTAGAAACTGTCATGTTATGAGTTCAACACTTTGAAAACATCTTAATGAATCTAACCTTAATCTTAAAATATGAGCAAACTGTAGAACAACAAAATTTTCCAAAGTTCTTTATTACTTCAAAGACAATTGTACATAAGCAAAATATTTCACAAAAAAAACAAGAACAGTGCTGGTATATGTCTATAGATTTCTGGGAAATTCACATTTCTAGTTTGAATATAACTACGAGTCCATGTTGTTATAAACTTAACATTTAGAAATGTACCTATACTTTACATATTAATTAACAAATGGTTTGAATTGCTCTTGGACAACCTTGCAATAATGTATGATGAGCTCACTCATGGTGTCAGTAAGTAATATGCTTAAATTTAAAAACAGATATTAATAAGAGATATCCTGATATTAAAAAATGGCTGATTACAGATTGTTTCCATGGATTTAGAGCTTGCACAAGTATCATTAATTGAGCTTTTAAACTATGTGTAGTATTACACATCTTTCCTACATCTCAGCATTGTATTTGGGATGTGTTTAGGTTTAAAGCACTATTTACTTGTTTATGGAAACTTATGCAGTTTCAATGTTTTTCTTTTGTTACAATGAATTCTATAACTCCTATAGTATTTTTTTAGTCCTTTTAAATCACTTTACAATATTCTAAAGTACTATAGGTATGTAAACAATGTTAGAAGATTGTGCTTAATTCATTATTCAATATTATTCAGCAGACCAACTGTTTAGTGATTACACATTGTAACAACTAGAATTTCTGAACCATCTTTTGAGATTTGTAACAAAAATAAAGTTTAGACTTGATATGCTTAGGTATTTTGAGGTAATGAAAAAGATTTGTTGATATTTTTTACTTGAACAGACCTCTGTCTATGTCGGAGAATCTTACAAAGTTAGCCCATAAGATTGACTTTGGAAAGGTTGATGATGATGATAGTCAGGACCACCTAGAAAGTACTCCCAACTTCTGTGGTGAAGAACAGAAAGAGCTGGTTACATTTCAACCATCCCTCTGGCCATGGGACTCTGTTCGCACTAAGTTGCGGTTAGTGTATGTTATTTGAATTGTAGTAGTATTATATATGTAGTGAAAGACACTGTATATCTATAATATTAAAAAATGTTTTTAGCCTGAATGCAATCCATGTTATACAGGTTTTGCATAAATTAAAAGTCTTATCAAATATAGTTTATTTTACATGGAACACACTGTTTTAAAACAAGACAGACATCTATATTAAGGTCATTAAATGTATATTATTATCAACTCTATCAGCAAAAGGCTGTTTTTCCACTGTTTCCAAATTCATTGTATATATTAAATCATCATGAAATATTATCTCTTTACTGCTACATTCTTCTTGCGTTATGTAACATACCATCATCTACAGGTAAAATAACAACATAATTTATTCTGTACTTCTACATCATTTAGTGATATAAAGCAAATTCTAAATTAAATGAATTACACTTATCAAAATATATACACGTAAATGAAATATTATGAGTTAACTATATGCATTTTGAAATTACATTTCTACACTAAATCATATGGTGTGGAAAAGAAAATACTAGTCTAACAGTTCACTTTAAAAGTATTGCACATATATGATGGAATATTTCATCATAGAACAAACAGAGCAACAAAGTTACACATTAGCTCTTTTACCTCATGCATTGTGCTTGAAAAAAAGTCAAGTGCTTGTAATCAAGGATCTATTGAGTGAACACCAGGAAAGATATGCTTTTTTATTAGTGAACATTTAAAAGTAATGTTAAAAATCGGAAGTGTTTTCAGCTTTAAATTGAAATATTCGGTCTTTAATCCCTTAAATATCTGTTGCCATGAAGAAGTGCAGATCAGTGATAATATACATACATACACGGTAAAACTTCCCTAAGTGTAACTGCAAAGAGAAATGAAAAAATTTTATATGAAATTTGATTTAGGGAATATACAAGTAATTTGTAAGGAGAGGTTTAAAAAAAGGGTATTTGTATATATGTTCTTATATAAGTAACTAAGCTTGTTGATCTTTATAGGTACTTAGTTGGGGAATATCCTTAAGTTTTCTGGTACATCATCACATTAAAAAAAAAATTAAGAAATAGCCATTAATTAAAGAAGTCTGCTATATTTGATTGCTGTTGTGACTTGTGGTATTTATTCCTTTGACATCCAGTCTTCCACAAAGTGAAGTGTGCTGAAACTTCACCCACATTAAAAGCTGATCAGTTAATTCAATTAATAAATATAATTTATTATCTGTGAGCATTGATTAATGTCACAAACATAATCAACTAGTATTTTCAATTATTACTATTTATGATTATTTCAAGTATTCAGTAATCAAAATTCTGATTAAATTGATTAATTTCATGAAAATAATAAATTAATCAAATTAGTGTTTCCAATTATTACTGTTTGGGATTATTCTAAATATTTGGTAATTTAAATATTGCCATTATGATATTTGAATATTATTAGTGTAATGAGTGATGAAAATAATCAACTAATCAAAATTAGGGTTTCAGATGATTAATTACCATTTTCTAGTATTCCAACTATCCAGGTAATTGAAATCTAATCAAAAACATCTTAGGTGTGAAAAAAAGGTATGGCCCAAAAAAAGGATTGAGCATGCAATTTAAAGGAATGAAATCAAAATTGGTGGTCAAACTGGTAGCTACACTTATAGCATTGATAAGAATTTTACAGCTAATATTCTTTAGTTAGCCAGGCCACATTTTGTTATTCAATTTGGGGCATAATGGTGTGTAAAACAAAATATTTGGCCTAGTTAACTGATGCTTTTCTTGATTATCAGCAGTTGAAGTCTTTTTTATCCATTTATCCAATGCACAGTTTTCCCACATTCGTCTTATGCTTACTACTCTCCTATAGTACTTGTCCACCGCACATTTCCTCTCTGAGACACTCCACTGATCTGAGGAGTTTTGGTGTGATACATTCTCTCTCATTACTTCCATGTTGGCACGATTGGTCTCTTCAGCTTTATCCCTACACATGTGGTTTCTTTTCTGTTGGGATCATCTGGGAATGGATGCTGTCTTGTCCCAGGTTCATTTGCCATCCACTTATCTTAGGGATTTGTAGGTGGTTCCTTTCTTCATTGTTCTATTTGTGGGAATATTTTGGAGTCTTTGGAATCACATGTGGAATCTGTGAGATAACATTTGTCCTTTTCATCTTTGGTTGCTCATTTGTCTCATTCTGAGCCCTTATAATCTCTTGTTTCGGTTCCTTGCCCTGCACCCTCCCATCCTTTACCTATTTCTACCACTAGGGGTTTCACTGTTCGTCATATTTTTCAAAGTAGGTTTCATCATCTCCAGCAGTACCGGTGACCATCCAGTGGGTTCCAATCTATTTGGAGCATATTTGGCCAACTTTATTTTTTTATGGTGGAAATTCGATACAGATCTTTGGGTATCCAGGTTTTGTCAGAGGTACTTTTCATCCATTTCCTTTTCCATCCCCTATTGTTCCATGTACCGACATCATTTCCATTACCTTGGGATCCCCCTACCAGTCAGCACCTATCTGAGGTGGTGCAGACTTTTCAATCACAGAGAACTATTGAGATTGCCAGCCAACTTTACCCAGGCTTTTTGTGGTCCTATCAAGAGAATGATGATGCTTTGGAGTAGATCCAACACATTGCAACTCACCCCTTCAGTTGGGATCCTTCATTCTACCATCAAGTGGATGTTGGTTCTCAGTGGGTGGTTTTGGATTGGAACTGGACCAATCAATAAAAATCCTCACAATTGTGTTGGTTGTGTTACTTCTTCCTCACTCAATTTTCTCTGGACCTACACCTCTGTACAATGGGTCTCGGAGATTGATGTTGTGCCCAGTGTGGCAAGTGGTGAAAGATTGTTTTTGAGACTTCAGGTTGATAAAAACATTTTTGTCTTTCACAGTGGGACACGGAAAATCAAATGTTCTAGCAATGATCTTTATAGAAAATGAAACAGCCAGAGAACTTAATATGGGCAAATTAAGGAAAAGTTTTGCCATATTAAAAATTCATAAAGTTCCATTTTATTTGTTTTTTTTTATGTATTTTTCTGCTATGTACCATTTTTGTACACTTTATTCTGAATTTTTTAAAAAATTATTTAAATTCTATAAAATACAGAAAAAAATAAAAGCATATTTTTGCACCTTTCAATTTTTGAACTTCAGCTAGCACTGGTGATACTTTCTACTGTCTGTTGACTTACTGGCTCTGACACAGGCAGATTTGATCTTGAACACACTTAAATCATTTTAGAGCACCCTGCTTTATGTCAAGATATTTTAGCTGTTTGATATACTTTTGTGATGAGTCAGTTCCTTCTTTGCCACTTTCAACACAATTTCTCTTTTTTTTTTAATCTGGTAAAAAGTTTTTTTTTCTTTTTGTGATGATCATTATCTTTAATTAAATGAGCATTGTCTTTCAGTCTTGATAAAAGAGTTAGCACAAACAATCACGTATAAAGTGTAATAAACTTAAAATAAGACCCAAAACTCAAGCGCTTTCGATTAGTTGACTATAAAAAAATAAAAAAAAAACCTTTGTTCTCCTGAAGAAGAATAGTCAACTATTTTAAGTTCATTGTCTTTCAGTGGTTTTATGTTAAGCTACCATTGTGACATTGTAACATAATTCCCTTAGAACTACTTCAATGAAATTCATACAGAAATTGTTACAATACAGTGTTATCTAGACATAGCTAAGAATGGAACTGTGCATTAAACATACAAGGTTGTAACTGTCTAGCTTTGGAGTGTGGAAAATGCAATTGCAATTATTATAACAGTAATTGCTGGCTAATTGGCTTGAGGATTGTTTTTAGGTAATTACTACTAGGGATGCTAATATTGTACAATGTGCAGAAGAGCTTTTCATGCATTATTTTGTCAGTTGTGTGTGTTTATTGAGCATCACAGTATTTTGTAGGTCAAATACTGAAATACAATGTAGCAATTCGAGACAGAAGTAAAAATTATATTTTATTGTGATATTTTCTACATCTCAGACTTAAATATCAGCCTTCAGAATTCATTTTAACCTGACACATTGAATTATGTTCAATTAATAAATAACTAAGTTTTTAGACTTGGACAATAGCAGGTAAGTTTCTAGCTATTGACAATACCTTAATTTATGAACATAAAATAGTGACTGCTTAACAATTTATAGATTGAGTTTTATGGAATGCAAGTTGGAACTTTCAATCAAGATTAAAGTTGTCATGGTAGCTGAACCTTGAGAATGTACTATTGAACTGATAATGAAGAGAAATTATTTCTTCTCAGTTTCCACTGTCCATGATTATTATATGCACATGTACCATATTTTTTGGAATATAAGACACACCCTTATTTTGAAGACTAAAGTTTTTTGGGGAAAAAAAAAGCTACAGTTGCATTTGAAAGTATTTTTTAATTAGAACTAAAAATTCAATTTTATAACTTTAAAAATTAGTATATTATTCGTTACTAAACACACAAGAGACTACAAA